TGCATGAGATGAAGCACGAGCGCTGACGATCCTCGTAGTTTGCCGGGAGCACCACGGGTCGAAGCTGCTTGCACAGCTGAGCCCAGGATATGAAACATCCAGGCGATGTCGCCTCCCGCTTGTACGCCCATTGGCCAGGCCGCTATCGTTGGAGAGCGAGAAAGCGACACGGAGTTGCTCGGTCGAGATCAGAGACGCGTCCATCGCCAGCTCTACCTCTCGGGTCCAGAAGTGAAGGTTCTCACCTCCTTCCCTATGTGCGGTTTCACCTTTGGCCGCAATGGCTTCTGTGGTGTTGGAATTCCCATGTAAACTCTAGCTACAAATGTAGTTAGGACGTTCCCACAACAATACGTCTACTATGATAGTAAACGATCGTTCAGGTGGGCTTGAAGACGCCAGTTCTGCCCTTGCACCGGGACAGACTGGACCTTGTAAGCTACTTATATAGGCCAACCAGTAAAATAAGAACACGCTACTAGCACGAGCAAAGCTAGTAGGTGTTATAAATCCTCGTGGTCCCAAACAGCGGAAGGGTACCAGGCACGGGTAAGCCTTTTACGAGGGCACCGTGTGTTCAACACTCGGTTGGAAGAATAAAAGCGATGCAATACAAGCACTCCCAGTCGTGCAAATAGGCAACAATAAGCCGTCAAGTAAAACCTCCCGATCGTAATCGTCCAAAATACACAGTCTCTCGGCCTTGCCGGATCAACCCTCGCTACAGAGCTTCGAGTTCACCGACAGGCATAACCCACTCAAACAAGCTTGACCAGACGCTTACCTTGAAGCCGGACGTCGCTCTGTGTGCTTGAGTGGAGATTCTGTTCTGTATTCATGTTTACCCTTTCGGGTCTTTTCCTAAAAAGAAGTCCTAATCAAGTTTACAATTTTCAAGTGAACTAAGATCCGTTATGGATCTTCTTGCACGCCAAGCGTCGTCTGCACCGTCACATGAGTATCTTTAACGGCCCGCGCCCTGTCCCAGACGGTGAACGTGCCTTCCAAGGGTCGCTGAGTCTTCCGCGAACTCATCCCAACCGCCATCGAGGGTTCGTACCGTAGATGGTCAGTTCTTGGCTGCTGAATGCGAATCCGGCCAGTCCATTATTAGTAATAAGGACAGCCTGGATTCAGTGACATATGGACCGTATCCAATATTCGTTGAGAGTTCGGTACTGACGCCGTCGAGTCTCTTGCACCTTGGAGTCGCTGTACATCACATGACCGAGGGTTCGCCGCTTGAACATCTTGGGCGGTGTCGCGTCTTTGTCGACGGACGATTATCCACAACTATGGAGAAATCACTACACCACAACTGCCCCTGTCGCAATGAAAGCCGCGGTACTGGTGCCCGTTGTGACATTTCTTCATTCTCCAATTCACTTTCCAGTTGCAGCATGTCCAAGCGTTTGAATCAGGCCATGAACAACGCGCTCCAGCGTCTTAATCCTCGCCGACGGCGTGAACGTGAACAGCTGGAGGTAAGTCAACTCATCTTTCTCTTTTATCATTGGCATCTTGCTCATCACCATGCATCACTCGTCTTGTTTCTCAGGAGGGTGACACCGAGGTTTCGAACGCCACTCAGCCTTCTACACTTCCATCGACGGCAACGTCGTCAGCTGGGCCTCCGGCGCTTCCTGCCCCGGACTCTTTGCCCCCTGCTGCAGCTCCTACGGTACTCCCTGTCGCTGCTAAATCCACGGGGATAGCTCCTACTGGTCCGCCTGCGCCTGCTGGTGGTCCTCCACCACTCACCGAGGATTTGTTGTGTGTCATGCTGGCGGAGAGTACGGAAGTGTCGGTCGATCATATGATGACCACCATTATTCCGTACTTGCCTGCGATGGCCCGTCATAAAGTACAGCTCTACGTTGCGCCTCCACTTCAAGGCGATATCTACACTCAACGTCGCCTCGAGACCGCCATGGGCTTCGACGAAGTCCTCGTCGCCGTACAGCCTCTTCCTGATGCGTTGTCGGCATTGCCCGACCAAGTTATCAGCTTGGTGCGTCAGTTGCGGGCTGCCCAGACCGAGGCTGCTGCCGCCGTACGTTCGGTGGTACCCGAAATCATGGCTCGGGAGAACGCGGAGGCGTACCTCAAGGCTGCCAACGCCGAAGTCGAAGCTCTTCGCAGGGACGTCAAGATTCTCCGCGAATCGAACGCCAAGAACGATGCCATGCTCGCGTGTGCTCAGTCCACCATGGAGCAACATACAGAGGACTTGAATCGTCTGCACTGCGAGGTCCAAGCGCGGGACGCGTTCATCGACACCTTGAACAAGAAGCTGGCCCGTGAACGCGAAGTGTACAAGTCTTCGATTGGCGCGAGCACCGAGCAGACTCGCCAGCTTCATCTCCTCTTGGACAACCTTTCCAAGGGCAAGTACGTCGACAACGACACGCTCAAGGTCCTCGAGAACCAGCAAGATCGCAACACTCGCCTCCTTCAAGTAAATCGTACTCTCCGTGCACACGTGAGTCTGTCCGGAACGGATCCCGAGGTACTGCGTCTGGCTGTTGATGATACGTTCCTCGTGTTGTTCTTTCCACCGTGAGTTCAGCAACTAACGTTCATTCACAATCCTTCGTGGCAGTTCTTACTGCAGGTGAGCTGGATCGGGAAGCTCTAGACTTGAACCAAGAGACGTTGGTCGCTTTGCAGCGCATACAGTCTGCTGCCGCGTCTTCGGATGATCCACAAGCTCTCCCTGCGGCTTTGGCGAAGGCTGCTCATCAAGTGGCTCATGGATAGTCCCCCAAGCGTCTTCGACCAGGTGGCAACGAGTCGGACGACGAGTCGGACGATTCCGACGAAGACAAGGCTCCCATCCCAACGGACAAGGCCAGTACGTCTATGGCAGCTGCTGGTCTCGGTGACGCGCCACCTGCCGACACTTCAACCCCCAAGTCTGCACGTAGGTCGCTGTTCCGCCCGAAGGAATGGAAGCAAGCGGCCCAGAAGAAGCGCCAGAACACTCGCCTTCGCTCTCCTGCCAAGTCGCCCCGATGTCATTTGACGACTCGGTCTAAGTCTGTACCGTCTTCTCCTCGCTCATGGCCGCCATTTCGCACGCCAGCGTCATTGTAGACTCCCACCGTTGTTGACCTCAGCGGTGACCAGAGTGATGTGGACATGGTGGATGTTGGCTCAAGTGGGGTCCTGTCGGCTCAAGATATTGCCATCGAGTCTTCGGGTAAAGACGTGGGCTTAGGGGCTCACAACGATGTTTCCGGTCTTCCTGATGCGCCTTTGCCTCTACCCCAAGGTCTTCCCGACGTGGCCAAGCCGCCAGCGTCGACTATCTCCCCTTCTCCAGCGGACATACGCGCCGCCGAAGAGGCCTTGCGTGAGGCCGAGCAATTTCGACTCATGTTCGGCTCAAGTGACGAAGGTGAAGAATCAGATAACAACGCCCCATCAGGCAAGGTTGCTTCGTCGTCTGCTGCGACTTCTCAGATGGTTGAAGTCTCGGGAGTAGTTTCTGCAGCTGGTCTTGCCCCTGTTGAAGCTGCTCCACAAGCCTCCCTGCCTTCAAAGCCGGCTCCGACTGTTCCAACAGCTGCCGCGCCAAGCGTTTCTTCGACTGACTTTCCGATGGAGATTGACGACGATGGTAATGGTGATGATGATCGTGGAGATAACGTGGATGACGATGAGCCTTCGGTGGATGATGCTCCTGGTGGTACAAGTGGTGGCGGTGATGTTCCGCCACCTACCGAACATTCGAGTACAGTTGACGACGAAGATATTGAAGACTCCGACGGCAACTGGAGCGGTCTTGGCCCTGCAAGGCCCCCGATTCCTGCTCGGCCAAATCCTTCGCCGATGGTAACTTCTCCGATCATAGTCGGTGGTCCGCCTCCTCCGTCATCGCCAAGTTCACTGGCGCCTCCATCTTTTCCCTCTGCTCCGGCGTCTCCTCGCCCGTTCTCTGGGCCTCTCGATGCTGGGCCTGGGCGCAAGATCACGGCCACCTACACTTCGGTGCCGCGTCGTGGCGGCGCAGCGTCGGTTGAGCCGTTACCTCACCGCGTGTTGCCTGGTGCTCGCCCAACGGTGCCGGCTTCTTCCACTTTGCCACTGTGGGTGCTCCCGTACCTGGACATGGAGTTCACCGACGCAGGTGCCAAGAAGTGTTTCGAACGACTCTTGAGCATGACCTCCCAGAACCAGCCGGTGAAGTAGTCGTTCGTACGACGTTGGAAGGCCTCCAAGCGTACATTGGGCTATTCAAATCCTGATCATCCGTACCAGCAACTGCGGCGACACTTTCCTCTACAGAA